GATGCATTTAAAAATACAGACAGATGTTTCCCCAAATTTCAAGGCTGACATGAGGCATCTTGCTCTGTCAGTGAACAAGGCTGTGGGCCACGACTCTAACATCCTCGTACCTGCATGGACTCTGCTCCCCGCCGTTGCTTCTTGGTGGCCAGCTGGCTCTTCAGGTCTCTGATCTCAGCCTCCAGCAGCTGGATGACTTCTTCATAGTCCTGCTCGGCGCTGCCGGCCTGCCGATGCACCGCCTCGGCCGCCTGCAGACGACTCTTCAGGCGAGTGTTCTCCTCTACAGTCAGACAGGCTTTCTAGGAGAAGTGACAGAAGGATTCACTCACTGCCTTCAGTCTTTGTCCACGTTTTCAGATGATTCAGCTGCCAGTGAGACGTATTTTACTAAATACAACAGGATGATCATATGAATATGTTATTAGCAATTTTATTTTACCAGCTGAGAAATCTTTACATTCTTGGTTCTCACACCTTAAACTGTCCTACGACACGCCCTATCGAGCTGCACAACAACACCATTTCTAATCATTCATCAACTAAACAACAGCCGCCATTATCAGCAGACTCAGTTTGATTAGTTTCACTACAAAAATAATTTCCATGCAACTTTGACCCCATCGCCCACGCTCACATCCCACAGTTATAAAGATGTAACTTGAGACACTGCAGGTCTCCACAGGCTGCAGGCCGGCCTCTGACCTCTGAGGTCTTCTGCAACTCCTCCTCGAGGGTTTTCTTGCTGTGTTCCATGTCCTTCAGCATCACCTGCCAAGAGAGGCAGCAGATGAAGTGGCAGCTTCCTGTATGACTGTTAAAGACCCACCTTTCCATTCAGAGGACAGACACACAACTGTGAGGCACGCGGCCAGGAAAAAGCAGCTAAATCTTGGTGAGGTTGGGAGGCTTCGTCTGTGGTTTTCCCACTGAGTGTGTGTTTGTTGGCTAAGTGTGGAAACAGGATTCTTTGTGTTTAGTTTTAAACTGCAAAACGTATTCTCACTACTTCACTTGGTAGCCAAAGAAATACCACCAAAACGCCCGCTCCAGCCCTCGTCTATGATACAAAGATGACTGAGACGAAGAGTGTAAATGTGCCTATTAAACCATATTTCTGGGCACTGTTGAAGGAAGCAGGTTTAGCTAGCAATGCCGAGTTAACTCTGAGACGAGGAAAACTCGTGTTTCCTGAACTTTCCTCCGACTCCTCCCATCCTGTTTATTCTCCAAAGTGGCTGTCAGAGCACTGAGTGAACTGCAGATTTTTAGAAACACTAGAAACAGTTAACCTGAGAGCTTTTACAGTCATTCGTCATCAGTATATAAGAACAACGACAGTAATGATGTCGCTCATTTATTATCAGCTCAGAATAAAATCCATTTTTTCCATCGTTCTAAATGCTAGTGCCAATTCTGTTTACATTATACAAGCTTGCATTTACACTGCTATGCAGATGACACCCAGCTCTATCTGTCCATGAAGCCAGATAACACACACCAATGAGTTAAACTGCAGGGATGTCTTGAAGCGGATGGCCGCTAACTTTCTGCTTCTTAATTCAGATCAAACTGAGGTTATTGTACTCGGCCCTGAAAATCTTGAGTTTTATATTATTGTAGGGTACATCCTCTATAGTGAAAATAACAAAGTTTTACAGTTTACATCACATATAGTTAATCTCTGTAATATTCTGAATATTTAAGGAGCTTGCAAAGAAAAGCGTCTGGACTTCTTTAAGTTGCTTGAAGACGTTTCACCTTCATCCGAGAAGCTTCTTCAGTTCTAAGGTCAAATGGTGGAGAGTCCCAGATATAAACCTAGTGGGAGTTTCCCCCCACAGAGGGACAAAAGGACCCCTGATGATCCTCTAATCGCCTGAGTCAAGGTGTGGAACTGGGTGTGGGTCCCAATCAGCCAGAGTTTCAGGTGAGCTCTGGGGAGGGAACTCAAAACTGGATTATAGATGGCAGACAGTTGGTGTCGTAAACCACCGCCTCTGTTCAAAGATGGTCGCTCACAGTGGACATAGATGCCTTCTTCACTCCTCTTTCAA